AGAGAGGCTTTTTGGTTTGCCATCGATTTGCAATGCTTTCTTCAGTTCTATGGCTTTCTGTATTAGACCAGATTGCGTTTTCAGATGTCTTGGCCTATTCTCATAGGGGCTGAAGAATTTATCCATGGGAATGCGCAGTAGCTTCTCATACAGGATCAAGGCCTTCTCTTTGATAAGGGAACATATTGTGGTGCTTCCTGTAACTAGGAGCATTGCATCAATGGGTGTTAATATTATCCCTCCAGTAGTTAGTCGTAATGCTTGGTTGTGTGCCTTCTCGAGTGGTTTGAGAGTCACTTCTGTGGCTGTAATGAGTGGCTCACAGCAATACAACATTGTTGGCTGAATAAACATCTTGTAAGTGGTGTTAAGATTTGAGCGTGCACAGCCCATACGCTACCAGCATGACGCTTCAGTACATTCAGTCTATTGGAGACTCGTTGTGCTACTTTAGCAATGTGACTTTTCCACATTAGCTTTGTGTCCAGCGTCATTCTGAGATAAGTGAACTCATTGGTTTTTTCTAGAGAAGTGTCTTTGTGCCTTAGATGCGGGTCTATGCTGTGACAGCCCAAAGAAAATGTTTTGAATGCAGTTTTCGCGGTGTTGATAATCATTCCATTGTTGTGCAGTTTTCGCGGTGTTGATAATCATTCCATTGTTGTCGCACCAGTTTGATAGTAGTTTAAGTGAACCATTTAGGACACTTTCCATCCTCTCCTGAGCGTTATTCTTAAGGGCGGAATGCCATAGAACAAGATCATCTGTATAAAGTTAGCACTTGATGACCGTGAATGTATTGCGATAATATGATCACAAAAAACACGATTCCTATCTGAATACCTTTAAAATAACTGAAATGTTTAGCAGAAAAGGTCTCTGCTCGTGCAACCGCATGGTTTAATCGTGTTATTGTTGAGCACTTCTCAAACTCTTTACTAAGGACTCTATTTTTCGCGGTTGAAGAAAAGTATTCAGATTTTCAAGTGGAGTTCTCAAACAACTTTCGGCAAAAAAAGTTTACTTATTCATTGAACGATTGGGTGTATACCTTCCAATGTTTAGTACATTGATTACTTTCCGCATTTTGGAATTTTTCTCTCCTCGGATTTGTTCAAGAAAATACTTTGGATTTATGCGGCTAATAGTCAACGGACTCAAGAGGTGAAATAATTTTACTTTAATCAACTACCAGTAATAGAATGCAAACCTGAACATCGCGTTCATTGTATTCATCCATGGCAAAGTCATCGGGATCTTCGCCGAAAGGATTAATTAGCGCCTCTGCAACCTAAAAGGAAAAGGAAAGGTGGAAGAAAACGTCATTCGAAATTATTGGCCATTTCAGAAATTACAATACACGTGCACACACACGCACGCACGCACTTGAAATTACCTTAATCCATCCCAGGAAGAAGATCAGTCGAAGCATGCCAAATATGGGAATATAGAGGTCCACTAATTTCCTTTTATACCCCTGAGTAGTATCGAGAAATTGACAAGAAAATGTCGAAGCAATAACATAGACGTAGATGGTTATGGTAGCCACCTAAACGCGCACAGAAGAGGGTTCTTTAGGAATAAAGTTAATGTAGACCATAGCTAGCATGAGCACCATACTAACCTAAAGCTCATTTCTGCGATTTGCCGATATCCTAATGTTCTATCACGTGGTCCCTAAGCTGTCTGTCACGTGGTCAAATCTAGGCCTATTAGGAAGCTAGTTTTGTGTTCTCTTTTGAGGCTTACACTTTGTCGGCTTTCCTATCTCGCCTTCCACTCTATCGGCGGATAGAACAAGGAATTCGTGAAACAAGAACCTCTTGTTTTGCATTTGCAATCTGTACAAATATATTATATAACAGAGGTAAACAATTGATTTATTTCCACATGGTGGTCCCTGGGCAACGTATACTCCTACGGCGAAATCGTCTATAAACCGACAGTTGACTTCAAACTACCATGACCCCACTGTATGCCATATTCCACCACTTCCACAGTACTCACCTTCCTTTCATCTTCGTCTTTGTGTCTGTCTGCTTCTTTTACATCTGTGAATCACTCTTCTGTTTCTCTTTGATGTTCATCCCATCTGTGAAGCCCGAAGTCAGCTAAAGGACTAATGATAACTATCATAAAGCCTGTCATTTAATGTAAATAAATATCATTTTATATGAATTTTTCAAAATGCTTTAAAACTTCCCTTAAATTAGCATTTTAAATCATTGAATTATTTTAAATCCATGATTTTACCAGAAACTTTGAAGCCTTGGATAAACTATTGCTAAACTTTATTAAATGAACTCAATTATTGATGGCGACATACTTGAGTGAAGCCAAGGGGAACATTGATGATCATGTTGTAAATGATCAGCTTGGCCCCCTTGGCTCGTATAACAGCGATTCCCTTGTAAAGGAGCTCCACAGCCCGATCACTCATAATAAGACCTGAATCACGCATTTCAAGAACCAGCTCACCGGCCCAATAGAGTGGCGCGGCATAGAAGGCGGCTTTTCTACTTGGCGCTGAATTTTGCAGTCTTTTCAATTCAGACGGTGTCATCATACCTAGGGTATTTTTAAGAAATTAAATGTCAAATCTTTTCGTGTGGTAGGCATTTTGTTTAATGTGTAATGTGTATTAACTCTTTAAAGGCCTTAAGATTGTCCCCTTTCAAAATAAGCTTTTTTGACAGTAGACTCGTAACCAAAGCGGCGATATTGCCGTTTGAAACATGTTCAATACGTGTCTATAGACATCATTCGGTACCACCAGAACTCATCACGTCGACTGCATCAGTCTTCTATGAGACACACGCATGAATGCGGTTGGGTACATTTTTTAAAAACAAATCATTCAGGCGTTTAAGGGTTACATTAAGCCACCAATACAGGGTCTTATAGAACTTAGATTGGGGGAAGGGGTTTTGGTGGGGGGGGGGGGGGGGGGGGGGGGAGTGGAGCTGAAGTAAAATAAAGGGGTTCAGGAGTGAGAGCCACCAATCGTTCTATCGCTATACCAAACCAAAGCATTTTCACGTCTTATTCTACTTGAAGTTGGAGACCTTCGGGTAAACTTCCCAAACTAGGCGTCGAAGTTGAGAAGCTTCCAGTCTCTCCCAATTAGACTTCCCTTCTTTCATTTCTTGTTGAGTTTTTCTCGTTTGATCCAGAAGCGAATTCGTTAAAATAATTAAAAGTCACTCACGCGTTGCGTACTATGCTAATTGACGAAAAATTTCAGATTAAAAATCGATTTGTGGATAAATGCAGTGGTAATGAACCTTGTCTGATTTTAAATCAATGATCTAAATCACAGCATTACAATCGTTTAGAAATCGTAGCATTAGTATAAGTGAGGGATAAACTTTGGAAATCAGTTCGAGATAACTCATCGTAATCACATAATTGACATTCAATTTCATACCATTGAAAACGGAGAGTATGTTTGAGAAAGCCTTCGTCTTGTAAAATGGCAAGGAGTAATTTTACAACTTAAAGGGCAAAACAGAGATACTAAATCTTTAATTTCTAATTTAATTTAATTCTGTGATAACCAGGCTCACAGTCTCTAACCAAACGTGAATTACCCCTTTGGACAAATTGATCTGTAGTCAAGCATAATTATTTGCTTATCAAGGTTCCTGATGAACGCTTGGAGACGTTTGCAAGGAACTACTCAATGGTCAGTTTGCTGAAATTCATGAAATATGAGTAGTAAGCCCTTTTGAAAATAAATACACAGTGATTTACCATCAGCAAGTAGAATTTGATCCACAGCGTAGCGTTTCTTTATTCGTGAGCAGAAAAGTCGCAGGGTGATTGTGTTGGCCAGGTTAATGTAACGCATAAATGTCTTCATTTTTTGCTTAGTCAACACCGAATCATCGGGGATGTAGGCGGAGAGCAACAAGGCAATTTCATCCGGCCATGGAATAGTCTGAAATTGCCCCCACCATCTTTTAACCACCACATCGACGAAGAAACCCACCACTAGGCCGACTGGGATCAAGTGTCCATAGCCTGCGCAGTATTGACAGTAGTATTCGAAGTACCTATGCACAAAACACTATTACCATTGCTGTTGTTAATAGGCTATTAAGAGAGAATACGCTAAATTAAATTTCTAAAGAAAACTTCTGTTTATTAAAATAGGCGAATAAGGAAAAATTCGGATATGTGTTACATGTCTTACTTTAAACGCCAGCTAAAAAAGATTTAACCAATTTAGTACAAAGGAAGATCAATGATATTCAAACCCTCTGGGCAATTGGCCAATGAAAATTTGTGCAACATGAGGTCAAATGGGGTCCTAGCTATTAAAAATGGAATATCTGGGAGTTAGACATAAGATAGTCAATTTGAATAAGCGAGCTAAAGAGGATATGAATTGTTCAAGCACCCAAGCAGCCCCTCTTAAACCTTGAGCGAAACTTTTAGATCCAAATAGCTCTACTCCAACTCCATTAAAAACGGAATTTGAAATGGATAGAGAAAACCATTCTTCATGGAATAAGCATGTTACTTTTTGAAAGTTCGCCCTATTCGTGGAACATCATATCGAATTACTTGACTGATTTATTGGTGAGCTTATGTGTTGAATTGGAAAAAAACTAACAAAATTGGTTGTCTTCCAGAATACACCTTGAAAACTCTTAGGCACATAACCACAACCATGTTCTCTTTCTCCGTGATCCGGGTAGATAAGGCTGATGTTGATCTTGATCTTCAAGTTAATGAGGCCCTGTTAAGTCAGCAAAATTTCTGCATGATCCAAATTATACTCTGCACCACGTAATGACCCGAATCACAATCGGTTGTAATTGACAATCAACCCCTGAATCCATAATAGTGGAAAGAATCACTCGCATTTCCTGCTTCCAACGTCAGGTCCAATTTTTCAGCAAAAAATTTTCTCTTTGGAGGTATCAATAGTGGGAAACGAGTAACGTAAGTTGCAAGAATAAAGCATAGAAACTCTTCCAAGGGAAACATCCACTTGAAATTTCAGAAAAGTAATGAATATATTCGTTTGGCTTTCATAACTTTAACGTGAAAAATAATTCCGCAATTAGTTTTAAGTTGGATTTGTTTTAATTCAGTGCGCCCCTGAACCTATGGCCACGCCATAACAAACAACAGAATTAATTAATATGTTCTTAAAGGTAACTATGCAAATAATAACTACCAGCGCATCGAATAAACCCAAATTAACATTTAAATACACTAACCTTCTTGACTGGTCAGACATGAGATACCTATACGTCACCGAGATGAGTCCATAAACCAGTAGAAAAGTACAAAAATCGTGTAGAATGTACTTGTAAATTGTTCCCTTCCATCTCATCAAGAGCTGAAGAAAGGCAGTCCGTTTGTTGGTAGCAATTTTCCATGAGTACGGAATAGACATTTCCACACAAGAGAAAGAAAAGTTTGCCTTGCAAAGAAATTTAATTATTCCACCTCCATTTGAAGCACTATTTACATTAAGTCATTTGCATACAAGACAAGTGGTTTCTTCATTGCAATCTGAATTAATCAGTTCCTTAATGCCTGGAACTTCAATTTATTCACACTTGGCATTCAGATTAAAGTAAATAGCAACAAAAAATGAGAGCAAAAAGTTTTGAGCAAACGGTCAATGGAAGGTAAAAGTGCACTCTGGGAGAACTGATTTAATTATTCAGTGAAATTTTTATTGTCACTGCCCTAATGCAGTAAATCTGACCATATTTTGCACAGTGTATCATTAAATTAATGTTTTGAGGTTTATTCATCAATATGAGTTGTCGAAACTGAAAATGGTTGTGATCTCACTAACCAAACAGAAAGCCGGCAGATCTTCGTCTCTCCACAATTTCTTTCGACACATATTCCAGTCCTTGCCTCCCAAGTCTCTTCCACTCAGGACCAAGATTATTCTTTTGCATTGCTGTTATCCAAGGACTCCAAGGAATAGGCATTAGAATAGTAAGCAGATGCCTGGGAAACTACTAATTGATGTGATATTGACTAGATTTACCGACATCTTAGAGTAACAAATCGACAATAAGTTGTTTTAAACTTGAGAGCTGATATTTTTTGTTGCGGCGGTAATTACGAGTAGTGAGATTAGTCTCGCTATTTATTAAATTCTGGGATCAAGGTTATTTTGTAGGCTGATATAGTCTCAACACTTTCCACTTTGGGTGCATATTTACAACATGCTTAAATTATTAATTATTCAAATTAACTGAGTGGGTATCGGAAAAAGTATTCAGTACAATTTTATATCCCTTCTGGCTTTCCGTATTCTGGTGATGTTTATAATTCCTGAAAACCCTGTTTTTTTAGAGCTAAAACCAAACACTGCGTTTCAAAAGTGATCCCTTTTATCTTCATTTATAATTAACTAAACTGCCTTGGCAAATGCGTATATCCTGGCAAAGAAGGTCTATTAACTGGCAGTTGACTTCTCACTCCAAACCACCATCACTCCACTGTATGTCATATTCGCCCCACTCACAGTACTCATCTTACCTTTTTCTCTACCTTTGTGTCTATCTGCCTCTTTTACATCTGTGAATCGCTCTTCTGTTCCCCACCCCTCGACTTTCTGCTACTTTGATGAACCTTCCCTCTGTGAAGCCCGAAGTCAGCTAAATGGCTAATGATAGCCATCAAAACGCCTGCCATTTGAAATAAATAAAATATGACCATATATATATATATATATATATATATATAT